GGGGGTCCTCCCCTGTGGTTCTGGGGCACCCTGAGCCCCCCAGGGTGCCGGTGGGGGGGGGGAAACCCTGGCAGAAGGCCCCACTGCACCCCAATATCGGCATCCTGGGGGACATGGAGGGGCCTGGGCCCCCCCCATATCTGTGGGGGTGCCCTACACCCATGGGGTGCTCCATAGATCCAGGGGGACCCCACACATCTCGGGGGGGGAGGCCATGGTCCGTGGGACCCTAGGTAAGGGGTGACCCCAAATATGTGGGCACTGGGGAGGGGGTGACCTTGGCCATGGGGTGTCCCCCAGCCCTGGGTACAGCTGGGGGTGTGTCCCACTACTGGGGACCCTGGGGGGGGCCACATCATTGGTCCCAACCCTCTTCCCCACCCCAGTGAATGTGGCCCCCACCCCCAGACAGGGGAAGTTGGGGGTCCCCAGGTGCAGCAGCGGCAAATAAGGGGGTGTAGCGATGCAGGGGTGGCTGAGCCATGGTGGGCTCCTGCTTTATTGGGGGGGGGAGGGAAATATTGTACAAAAAAAAGAGGTGAATGGAGGTGTCCCTCCACAGCCGGGGGTTGGGGGGGCAGCACCCAGCGTGGGCCCCACAAGGTGCCGGGCATTGGGGCAGGGGGGATCCAGGTCCTGCCCTGAGCACGTTTTCAGGGGTCTGGATCCTGCTCCCAGCATGTACGGGGAATCCGGCTCCGGCTCCAAGTGAGTTGGGGGATCCAGGTCTTGCTGGAGCATGTGGGGGCAGATCTAGTTCCTGCCCCGAGAACGTGGGGGCACTCCAGTCCCCCCCCCCAAGCACGTGGTGGGGATCTAGATCCCACCTTGAGCACATGGAGGGATCCAGGTCCCACTCTGAGCGTGTTGCGGGACTCCAGGTCCCAGCCCCAGCACATGGAGGGATCCGGGTCCCACCTTAAGCACATGGCGAGGGCTCAGGGTCCCACCCCAAGCAGATGGGGGGGGGTCACTCTGCACCCACCCCCCTCGGCCAGCTCACACCTGCTGAGCGATCTGCTCGATCCGTTGCAGAACCTCCTCCGACTGCAGCTGCTCCAGCGTCAGCAGGGACAGCCCCAGCTGGTCCTCCTGCACCGGGAGGGGGTAAGCTGGGGGGTCCCCCACCCTGCCCAGCCCCTCCAGCACTGGGGGAGGGCTCTGGGGGGGGCTTCTTTACCTGATGGAAGGGCTGAGCCATCTGGCGCAGGAAGAACTTGGCCACCTGCACCGCCTCGTCCACTGTCAGGTTGAGGTTGGAGTCGGTGATGTGCTCCTGGATCCACCGCGGCAACTTCCCCCGCTTGTCTGCCCGGGCGAAACGCTGTGGGGGGAGACATGGGGTCCCACAGCACCCCCCCTAAATCCGTCCCCCCCCTCCACCCCATCCCAGTACACACCTTGTCAGCGAAGACCATGAGGCCATAGTCGGTTTTGCCACGCAGGGCCCGGCCGACACACTGGGCAGCGTGGCGCATGGCGTCGAAGGTGAGGAAGTCGTTCTCCCGGATCTGGAACTGGTCCCGGAGGTATTCCAACCGGGCCTGGGTTGGGGGGGGGAGCACAGACATGCTGGGTACCCCACAGGTGTCCCGTCCTGGCCGTGGGGTGCTCCACTGGTCCCCAGAGAGCTCCAGACCAGCCCTGGAGTGTCATACTGTAGCTGTGGGTTGCCACATGGCCCCAGGGTGCTCAGCTGTGCCCCATGGGTGCCCCACTGTGTCCCTTAGGGTGTCCACTGTACCCTGTGGATACCTGTCTGTGCCCCGTGGGTACCCCACTATAGCCCTGGGGCACCTCATCATGTCTCCTAAGTGCCTGGGGTGTCCCTGGGGTGCCCCCAGGGTGCCCCCCTGTCCCCACAGGTCCCCCAGGGTCCCTGCTCACCTTCAGGATGCGGCTCTGGGTGTAGACGTAGGGCACCCCGAACATGACGACGGCTCTGCCGTAGTGATGCACTGGGAAGGGGTGTGAAATGGGGGGTGCTCAGGGTGCTTCGGCACCCACCACCACATCCCCCTGCCACTGCCTGTCCCCCTTGCTGCTGTGTCCCCGACCTGGGCTGGCTCTCACCGAAATCGATGCCTTCCGACACTTTGCCACGGGCCACGGAGAGAAGGATGGCACCCCGGCCGTTCTCGCAGGCCTGCAAACAGCGGCCAGGTCACCGGGAGGGGTGGCACCGGTGACGGTGACACCCTGAGACGCTGCCACCCACCTCCTGGTACTTCTCCAGGGCCATGCTGGTCTCGGCCCCGTCCTGCGTCTCAATGAAGATAAGCTTGTTCCGCTGGATGTTCTCCAGGATGCCCTGCCATGGCGGAGGGGGGGCAGAGGTCAGGGGACACGAGGGGACATCGCGGGGGGTCAGGGGACGCTTTGGGGGACAGGTGAGGACGTACCTGCTCGTACCAGGAGGCCACGATGTTCTCCATGTACTGGTAGCTGGTGAAGAAGGCGACGATGCCGTCGGGGACCACGGCCGACAGCTCCAGCAGTAGGTTCCCATAGTTGCGGATGACGGCTGGGGTGTGTGGGGGGTCACCATAGGGCACCCCTGACCCCCCAAAGTCCCCTCCGGACCCCAAATCTCCCTGTCACCCCCAGCCCAACATCCTCCTGGCCCCATTTCTGTCCTGCCTCGGGTTCCCCTACCCTAGCCCTGGCCCCTTCAGCCCTCTAACCCTGTCCCTGTCCTCATCCCTCTCAGCCCCAGAACTCTGTCCCTGAGCCCCCTCCCAGCCCTATATCCCCCCTGTCCCCATCCCTGTCCCCCCCCAACACCATAACCCTGTCCCTGTCCCTCTCTCCTCCCTCCATCCCCGTTCCCTACCGATGTCCTCGCGTGTCTCAAACTTGGAGCTGATGGCCACCTGGTCATTGCCACGACCCACGATCTGCAAGGGGCAGGGATGCTGGTGACATGGGGGTCCCCAACCCCCCCCCCGCCGCAGAGCCAGCGCCAGGTACCTCCAATGCTCCCCACTCACCATGGGGCACAGGCAGGTCCGGGCCAGCGTCATGGTGAAGGTTGCCATGGTGACGGGGCGGAAATCCAGGATTTTGGGGTAAATGTCCAGCGGGGAGAGAGTCTGTGGTGGGGGGAGCAGAGGGGACACAAGGATGGGGTCATCCCAATGGGCCCTGGAGGGGACGTGGGGGGCACATAGTAGGAGGGGACATGGGAGGGGGGGACAAGGGGGACATGGGGGATACAGGAGGACACAGGAGACATGGTGGGAGGGACGTGGGGGACACGAGGGGACAAGGGGGGACATGCAGACTCACCCCTGACGTGATGATGACCGACTGGAAGCGCTCAAAGACTGGCTTGATGGCGATGGAGGCGTCCATACAGCTGGGGACACACACAAACACACATCCTGGACGCCTCCATCGCCATCAAGCCAGTCTTTGAGCGCTTCCAGTCGGTCATCATCACGTCAGGGGTGAGTCTGCATGTCCCCCCTTGTCCCCTCGTGTCCCCCACGTCCCCCCCACCATGTCTCCTGTGTCCTCCTGTATCCCCCA